AAGGCGCCATACGGCCTTTGCGACGTGCTTTACAAGTAAGTATACATATTATCGTTTAGTTTTTATGTTACATCAATCATGTTGATTAAGGTTTTTTTTTGTTAAATAGACCATATAATCCCCAAAACAAATAATATAATCCATAATCTATACAACTCTTGTAAGGGTAGATTTCCAAGATTTGAAGTATAATAACAATGCATCTAGTGAAAGCTGAAGACACATAATTGTATATTGATTAATTTACTCTAGGCAAAAAGAGAAGGTGTTGGATCTGACATTCCACTTTGGGGGATGCTTTTTTAGTTTTCTCATGAGATTTTTCTTTTTGCCTTAGTCACGTGCTACTAATTGACTTTATCATGCGCTTAAAAAAGTTGGATTTAAAGGTTGGAAGGAGAGATTCAAAGTTGAGATATTAGTTAATCCCAACTTTACACAATTATTACATTTTTGGGATAAAATCATTATGCGTTAGTACTTAATGGTCCCCTTTTGTGGTACATTCATCACTAGTTAACAATAATTGTTTATAACGAGTTAAAACTAGTGATCTTAAACTGAAGATATATATACACTAAACAAGGTTTATGCTTGCTCTTATATATTCATGTATTGTCATCCATGTGGGGTATTTTTTTTATTATGTTTTCTTTTTTGGCCGTGGTCCAGAGCTTTTTCTGAACGGGTAACATGATTACAAATCTAAAATCTATATCCAAGTTTAAAAGTAAATATGAATATTTTTAAGTAAGAAATTGTCTCAACAATCTTGCAAGCCGCCAAGAATATACGTACAAACATACACTTCCACCGGTTTTGGGGAAATCAAACCAACTAAAATAATATTTTTCTTGTAAATGGGATCTCACAACCCAAAACTTAATTAAACTACTATTGTGATTGATTATTGTTGGTATAATTTCTAAAAATGGTCAAAACTATGCATCTATTGAAAAATAGACATGCTAGTAGAATGAAGCCAACTAATCCTTGCTAGGTTTCTAGTTATCAAAAGTCCGAGTCAAATGTGATTTTCAGGATCAATGTACTTCTATTTATGGAATTGCTAGTTATTGATCATAATTTAAAGTTTTGGCACTTTTATTCTATAAGGAGATAATGTGGATTGCTAATGATAAATGTACTTCTATTAATGTCTATGTGAACACACAATCAGGGGTTGGATCCTCTAACAATATCATCAGTTTTTTCATCGGCACAATTCGTTGGAGAGAAAGAAATCAATGGAAAGGATTGTTTCATTCTCAAGTTATCAACCGACCAAATTGATTTATCACGACGAAGTGACTCTACGGCTGAGATGATCAAACACGTCGCATTTGGTTACTTCAGCCAGAAAAGTGGCCTCCTAATATGCCTTGAAGACTCTTCCTTAACCAGGTACATAACAATAAAGGACTAATTTAATTTTGGTTTGCTATCTTTGACTAAATTACTTAGGTTAGATTTTACATTATATGATAAATTTTGTTCTACAGAAGAAGACATTTTGAAATTCACATTATATGATAAAGTTTGGTTTGTGATATACAGGATTCAGATACCAGGAACTGTGCCAACATATTGGGAGACATCAATGTCGTCGTGTATGGAAGATTATCGAGCAATCGAAGGTAGTGAAGTGGTAATAGCACACTCAGGTAAAACAGATGTGTTAATCTCAAGATTTGGAGAGACTCTCAAAGGAGGAATCTCTGTGACTCGTATGGAAGAGAAATGGACTATAGACGATGTTGCATTCGACGTGCCTGGCCTCTCTGTTGATTGTTTTATTCCACCTAAGGAGATGAAGATGGATTTTCATCACCAAGACGCTCAAAAACATTTACCAAACTACAATAGATGATGAGGCAAAACTGTAAAATTAGAAAACTGTAAAAGGGTGGTTTTTGACTTCTTTTAAAAGTTGTGGGGCTATTTTCAAACTATATATAGTTCTTCTACTACTATGTTCCTTCTTCGTTGTGAAAGCAAAAACAGAGCAACAAAAAATGTCGCGTTTTGCTTTAAATCGTTATAGTCGTTATCTCTCGCGCCTCAAGCCATTGAAGACGCCTCCGTTTTTCTCTTCCTCTTCTGCGTCGAATCGAGATGGCGACTATCAGACCGGACCGCCACCGATCCGAGTCGGACTCACTGAGTCAGCGGGTCGAGCTGTTTTTGCAACTCGTAGAATTGGTGCCGGAGATCTTATACACACGGCGAAGCCCGTCGTAGCATGCCCTTCTCTTTTAAAGCTCGACTCTGTTTGCTATCTTTGCCTCAAGAAACTCATGGGTTCTGCTAAATTTGAAGATCGTGGAGTCTCTTATTGCAGTCAAGAGTGCCAAGAGAACTCAAAGGTCGTGATTTTTTGGTATTTTCTGTATGATTCCCTTTCATGTTATTATATTGCTTCTTTAATTCGATTGGTGCTGTATTATCTCCGTGTGAAGATAACGCTTACAAGGTGTTCGACGAAATGCTTCAATAGGAAAGACGCATCACTTTCTTTTTTTTATTCATCTAGAGATGAATCACTACCATATATGTGTACTTTTGAGTTCATGATATATATATGTTTTGATGATTTTACAGGGTTTTTTGGATGTCGAAAGAAGAGCAGATTGGTCAAGTTTTGTTGATTATTGTAGGTATGACACTATACTGTGTTTACTGGTTTCTTTTCTTTTCCATATGTGAACATTATCAAGTTCTTGAAGTTATTCTTTATTTTTCCCACATGAATCAATTATTGATGGAAGTTCCACGTTGAGCGAGTCTTATATAATCTAGTACTTTCTTGTTTCTATCGTAGTTTCATTGGAATAAGGGAAACTAAGGAAGTCATAGTTTGAGATAGCTGTGAGTCTGTTGTGGGCTATAATATGGTCACTCAAATCTTTCCTCTTGTAATTAGTAGAAAAAATTGACATTACTATTAAGATCTTTATATTGGCATTGATAATTACTATTTACTACATTCGATTATTTGTGTGTTAGGACGCACAACTTCAAGTACCCGCTTATGGTCAAGAGGTTGTGTTGTATGATAATATCAGGTGTTCTGCCCGCTGACTGTCTTGACATACTTCAACCAGCTGCTTTATCATCTGAGATGATTTCAAAGGTGAGTTATTGAGGATGCAAATAATACACTAATGATAGATTTTGAAACTTTTCGAGTCAAAATACACTGGGGCTGATCGCATACATGGTAAGTTATGCAAACTTTGGATTACGTCCCCGGAGTTTCTTGTATTCGATTTGATTGTTCATGCATTACACTTTGTGAAGCTCACCTTGTCTGCTGTAGTATTCATTACTGCCATGAATCAATAATAAAAATGTTATGATGAATTCATTGGCTCCGCAGAGTGGTTTGTTCGTATAGTCACTGGCTTGTTATTGTTTCAGATAGAAGACGGTTATGGTTTATTATGGAATGCCTTCAGGAAGGCAAATTTGAAGGATGATGATGTTTCTTGTATCCTTGGAGCTATATTTTACATCAAATCCATTCTATCTCCAGCGTTCTGGTTTTTATCTCTTTGCTATTTACAGTCCTTAACATCTGGAAGTTCTAACTAAACAATGGTATACGGCTATACTCGCCCGGATTCGTATCAATGCATTTCGTATTGATCTGGTTGGAGGCTCATGTGGCGAAGACCTTCTTTCACTGGCTGCAGCTTCTGTTGAAGGTGAAGGTGCAGTTGGCCATGCCGTTTATATGCTACCATCCTTCTACAATCATGACTGTGGTAATAATATTCACTTTTCTGATCTTTTTTATGCCGGGTGTTCGTGAAGAAATGCTTTAATGTACCAACATCATAAGCCAACGAGTCTTATAATATTTTCTGTTAGACAATGAGCAAATTTTTTGAAGAAATTGCAAGGTAAGAGAAAAGAGTAGAAATAGAAGTTTGCACAGAAGACGAGTTATACTGTTAGGGTAAAGAACATGATCATATAAATTTAAAATTTTTACTGACAGAATTTGAAGAAAACCTAAGAGAAGTATTTATTCTCTCCCTTTGCCTAATCCGATAACGGCCTCTATCTATATGGGTTTAGTGATATAAGTGTCTCATTTCCTACTAGTAGTTCTTACTTTTTGTTGATTTGCTGATTACTTATACCGCTAATTGTTGGAAGTTAATACCACCGTATGATTTGAGTTAATTCAGGCATTTAAATATTTGTTCTAAACTCTTCACTACTTGGGCCAATGTCTTTCTTTGTTTGGTTTTCTCTGGATAATTTGGTCTGAGATAGTTCAAATCCATGTCAGTCTTTGCCTGCATTTTTTTGAAAACTCTCGAGTCATATCGATTATGCGGGGACGACATGCATTACACGCCACACAACTATTCACCTATTTATGAAATAGAATGTGATGACTAGTTTGAATGTCCACAGATCCCAATGCGCACATAATATGGTTGCAGAATGCAGATGCAAGGTTGAACACTCTACGTGATGTCGAAGAAGGTTTGGTCTTTTATACTTTAAAACAGAGATTTCTCATTAGAATTTTACTTCAATCTTGTGAGCATTTTACTTCAATGGTACACTGCATACATATTTTCAGGTGAAGAGCTTCGGATATGTTATATAGATGCAAGCATGGGATATGAGGCGCGTCAAACAATACTCTCTCAAGGGTTTGGCTTCCTCTGCAACTGCTTACGCTGCCAGTCCGCTGACTGACTGATTAAGTCTTCCTCTCCTGGCCATCTTCACTTTTCATGTATTTTATGTAATATACGTGAGAAAACGAGGATTCAAGAAAATATCGAAAGAAACTATATATACTCAATGTTTTTCTGATAAAACTATATATCCTAAGGCTAACCAAAATGTTTTAATCGTTGGATAAACCATTATATATTAGAAATTTCAAGCCAACGAATAAATATAAAAAAAAAAAGTGAATTTAAAAAAAGCCAAATTTTATTAGTTAAGAAAAAAGCTTAACAAGATAGTTGAACCAAAAACAAAATCAGAAAAATCAAGAGAAAAAATCATAAAAACAAAATGATTGCAATCATGTTTCTTGTTAAGGAAACCATTCAAAATTAATAGTAAGGCGTCTTGTAAACATATGGTGGTGGGGAGCTGTAGACGTATGGTTGGAGATGGAGAGTAATACGGTGGGGGTGGGGAGCTATAGACGTATGGTGGTGGTGGAGACTTGTAGTAAACCTTTGGAGAAGGAGAGTAGTACGGTGGAGGTGGGGAGCTGTAGACGTATGGTGGTGGTGGAGACTTGTAATAAACCTTTGGAGAAGGAGAGTAGTACGGTGGGGGTGGGGAGCTGTAGACGTATGGTGGTGGTGGGGACTTGTAGTAAACCTTTGGAGATGGAGAGTAGTACGGTGGGGGTGGGGAGCTGTAGACGTATGGTGGTGGAGACTTGTAGTAAACCTTTGGAGAAGGAGAGTAATACGGTGGGGGTGGGGAGCTGTAGACGTATGGTGGTGGTGGGGACTTGTAGTAAACCTTTGGAGAAGGAGAGTAGTACGGTGGTGGTGGGGAACTGTAAACATATGGTTTTGGATGTGGCGCGTACTTAGGGCTTTTGTGTTCATGGCCGGGAGAATTGTAAGATGGAGTTTGAGGGGATGAGTAAGGGTATGATGTCACTGTAGCCGCAATAGCACTTAGGACCACAAGATAAACCATGCAGTGCCCTAATCCCATAGTTCTTGAGGATCTCATCACACCCATTACTGCTCTTTTTTATTTCTTTGTTTTTGTTATGTTATACTTGAATATGAGCACCCTTTATATAGTCTTTCTTTGTGTGTAATTATTATATTATCTTCTCAACTTGGGTTCGTGTGTGGCACTTCTAAGTATATGAGAGGACGTGCCAAGTTGTTTGTTTGAAAAGTATTGATTCGTCGAGGATATGGAATTTTATTAGATTCTTATGCAACCTTCAATTTTTTTTTAATATGTTTTCATATTTTAGTTCGAAATTTATCGTTAAAACAAATGTTAGATTATTAAACTACAGCTAATTTAAAAGAGAGGAGAATAGAAGTGTATTCCAAATTGTTTTTTAAAAAAATCTGTAATGGCTATCTATTTAATAAGATCATTTTTTTGTTGCAATAAATAATAAGATAAATTTTTTTTTTTGAAAAAAATATAATAAGATAAATTTGAAGGTCATTTAATTTGTTTTTCCTTTATTTATCTGCTCTTTCTTTTCTTAAGGATTATAAGTTGAAGAATTTTATGATACATGAATCGTAAGATGTTTCTTGTCTGGTTAAGGCAACTGGATGCGAATCGATCGTGTGAGCAACATTTGGTTCACGACCATGTTTTTTCCTCATGGGCGACCACGCTCATCCAAAATAATAAAATCAAAAAAAGCGAAGAAACTGTTACATTAGAGTTGCTTATGCTGTCTTTTCTTTAGTTTATTTATTTTCATTTTGTTTTGGGAATAAACATTGTTCTTCTAGTGGCATTTATTAAAGGCCATTAGACCGAGCAAAATAGATATACGCATCATCAATTCATTTGCGCGGTGTTTAGACCAATAAGGCAATAAGTATGTATCGCAAAACTAGCAATTCATGCTTTTTTCTCTTGAGTTGTGATCATTAGATGAGTTTTATCGCACAGTTTATAAGCAAAAGCTTCGTTCATTCTTTGTAGTGAATCACACAAGACAACAACTATGACAATGACAAACTAACAAAATCTATCGTCAATGTTGCACTTTTTCATGGAGAGCAACATTTATGACATTTTTTTACCAAGAACGTATTTCTAGACGAAAAGCAAAATTAGGAAAGTCTTTAGTCAAGTGATTAAGTCCACTTTATTCCAGTTTTTTCACTGGTGTTTGACTCCACTAAATCGCGTTAGCTCGCGTAGTAGGAATTGACTATGGATCGAGCTTACTCGATC